ATTCAGGAATGAAAATAAATATGTGTATTTCACATGGTGATATTCACATACGAAATTTGATCATTATCATTCTAAATCTAAGCACTCACTGCCTTCTTTAATCAGTTTCTGTTTTATCTTGTCTTGTTTTGTTTTGTTTTGCAGTGTTGGGGATCAAACCCAGGGCTTCACACATGCTAGGCAAGCACTCTCCACTGAAGCACATCTCACTGCTTTCTTTTATGTTGTGATTTTTGATATTGTTAGTTCTCATGGAAAACATGGATGATGAAACTATACAGAAAAAAACAAGATAACGACATTTGCAACTACTCTGTAAAACAAGTCCAGATATTGCCATCAACTAATTTTTTTCCGTACTGATTTGGTTTATACATGCTCTGTCTTTCCAGTTTCATCAAGGAGTTTTTTCTAAGGACTTGTAGAGTGAAATAACAGGTATATTTCCAGTTACTTTACAATATTTTGTTTCCAGTACATATCATCTTGCAGTGTGTTCCCTCATGCACATTACATGATCATTAAATTAAAAATGAGAAGTGTGGTTGATGATTGACTACCCTCTAATTACCCAGAGTGTTTGTCAAAGGCAGTAGGCAGGAGACATAAGCTCTATTTTGCTGTTATATTGACTGTGAAGGTTATAGCACATCTCTGCTAATTTTTTAAAAAGCTTCCCTAACAAGGATGTTTAGAGGAGCAGGCTTTTCCCAGAAGAAAAAGAATTAACAGTGAAGAAAACCACCTGGTAGTCCAAATGGGTTCATCCCATGAGTTCAAAATAAGAAACATTTCTAAACTCAGTGCTTGTCAATTTTTTCCCATAATGGAGACATTTATAGACTTTTTCCTAACAGCTCTCCCATGAAATTTTAATACCTTAGATATACTCTGGCTGTTTCAGTATTGAGATCCTTTGGACGGACACAACCCATTACACTATGTCAAATTCTGTCTCTGTACCGGGAACAACTTAAGCTCTGTTGAGGATGCTTGTCTTGTATTCTTCTTGCTGGAACACACTGACTTAATTCAGATGACATTTTACCAGTCAAAGTCTCCTATATGCTAAACCACATTATTCTAGAGTATTCAGCTCAAGAGGGTATATGACAAAAAGGGTTCTTTAGTAAGGTATATCTTGCCAACCAAAAGACCAAATCTCATTCATTTCCTACAAGTAAGGAGGCCCTAATAATATTAAAGAGCATATGGTTGCCAAGAGACAATCATGTGCATGTCAAAAATGTTGTACATCTCATGAATTTAGATTCCTCCACTTACATACAGGTTTTGCTTGCAGAAGTAATAAGACTGTGGACTTGTGACAGCTACCTCTCATTTGCTTATTTATTAGTACACATTTATTGGGCTCTATGTATACTTTCAGCTTCATGAGAGCAGGGCCCATGTCTGGCTTTGCTCACCATCATAAAATTCAAAAAAAGGAACGATGAAAAGAAGGAAAAAGGGAGACAAGGAACTGTGCTATGTGACTTGAACACAGACTAAGAATACTATATTTACTATGAAGTCCCAGACCTGCAAAGAAATAAATGAGTAAAGTGAAGTATTATAATCATGTGTACCTATAGTGGTGTCCAAAGCAATGATTAATTTTACCTGGTTGGAAGTTGGGAGTCAAAGTGAAGTGAGTTAAAAAAAAATGTTCACCGAGTCCAGGTTGCATTAAGATTTTTGTGAGTGCTAAAGCATTCTTAACTGCGTGGGCTCCTTCTTACATAAAAATCTATATTTTAGAATAATATAACTCTGGTACAAGATGAGTATAATCACCTGGTTGCTCTAGGAGCACAGAGCTGGGAGGCTCAGCAAGGTAAGATGTTTAAGTGAGAAAGAGCCTCCAGACGAGCTGGAAGAGGCAAGGTTGGGAGGAAACAGTTTTGCAAAGCCTGGAAGGGAGAGATCTGTGGATGACTGGGTGGAAAAAACGAAGTTAGAGAGGGAGATGAAGGTCAAACTGCAGCAAGCCTTGTGTTAAGAAGTCTGGCTTTAGAAGGATCATGAGAAGCCATTTGAAGGTCTCCATTTTAAGAACAATACCATGTTTGCATTTTGGGCATTCATTCAAGCTGCACTGCAGCCAGTGGACTGGCAGATATCATAGGAGAGCTCCAGGCCCCCTCTTTAGAGCCAAGGTACCCATCCCCAGCTGCTGGGAGTATTAGCTGGCGAAGGTGCATGACCCAGTCCTTGGATGTGAATTGCACCCAGCCACAGTGAGCTGCCTTTCTCAGGGGTACACAGCTCTCCCAGAGCACCAAAACTGTGAATGACTATTATGGTGATAAAGGGCCTGGGCCAAGGTCAACCCAGCCTAAGCTTTTGTGTTCCCTGAAGGCTGAAGCCTCTGTTGTAACTATGTCGCTGATTACTTTTCCCCCTGCCTAATCCTACTCTGCTAATTTCCTGTTGCCGGGGTTGGGAACGTGGCTCAGTGGTAGAGCTCTTGCCTTGCATGCACAAGGTTCTAGGTTCGATCCCTAGCACCACATACATTTAGAAAAAAAAACAATAATAATAATAAATTTTTTTTAAAATTCCCTGTTGCTACCAAGCACATTACTATGAATTTAATGGCTTAAAATAATATACATTTATCATTTCATTGAGTCTGTGGTCAGGAGTCAGGCACAGCATGGCTGGACTCTCTTTAAGCTGTAAAGTGTTGGCCAGACTGCATCCATGTCTGGACATTTAGCAGAGGGGAAAAAAATCTCACCCCACTTGTCATCAGAATTTATTTCCTGTGGTTGTAGAAGTGAGGGTCCGTTTCCTGCTGGTTGGCTGGATGCTATCTTTGCAGACCAACAATTCCTAGGAGCTGCCTGGTTTCCTTCACATGGGCTGTCCCAACATGGCCACTTACTGAATCAAGCCAGCATGGAGAATCTTTAGAACAAATCTGCTAGACAAGGCTCTTATAAAAGCAACTGCAGGGGTCTCACATCTCATGACCTTTGTTGTACTCCATTCACTAGAAGCAAGCCACAGGCCTGATACTCAGGGAGGAGATTACAAGAAGGCATGAACACCAAGAGATGGAAATAAGGGACAGCAACCTTAGAGTCCATCTGCCCTGCTTCGCTTCCACATTTGGAAAAGCTTTCTCTCCTGATGGCACTGCCCAATTAACCTCCTGCATGCAACTACTCATTTTAAGATCTGTATCCAAGAAGCAACACTGGAGGCAGAGAAATGAGTTAGAGACTGTTGCTATCATTTAACTAAGGGAGAGAATGAGTAGCAAACTTTATTTCCATTAATAAATGCATAGTCTTTATGATGGCCTATTTGGAAATAAAATAAAGTCCATATTTAAAGGAAATAAAGTCAGTATGTCAAAGAGACACTGGCACCCCAGTGCTTATTGCACCGTCACAATAGCCAAAACACAGAAACAGCCTCGGTGTCCAGCAACTGATGCATAAAGAAAATGTGCATACATGCACAATAGAAAACAAGCCAGCAATAATGAATGAAATCCTGCCATTCACAACAACGCAGATGGAATGGAGACCATTGTGTTAAATGAAATAAGCCAGGCACAGAAAGAGAGGTACTGCATGATCTCACTCATATGAAAGTAAAAACATTGCTCTCACAGAAGCAGAGAAGAGTAGGAAGGTGGTTGCCGGGGCCTAAGGAGGGGAAGGTGGGAGGGATGGAGAGAGGTTAAGTTCTGGTGTCCCATGGCATAACAGGGTGACCAGAGAAAATGCTAATGAACTGCACTTTCGAAAAGCTAGAGGAAAACACAAGTGTTTGAGGGGATAAATATGTTTAACCTGATTTAAACATTACACAATGTATATACATAGCAAAACATCACATGGTAACTCATAAATATATAGAACTTTTATGTTTTATGTGGCAGCTAAAAAAAAAAAATTTAAATAAATCAAGCCCAAAACCTACAAAGTGTCTTCAAGCAAAGGTACAGACAACAAAAATGACAGATTAAGCATAACTGATAAAAATTAGACTATGTTCCATGCACGAAAATAACTCTCAGAACATAATCAGTCACACAATCAGAGACAAGTGACTACTGCTTTATTAAGTTAGCATAAATTGGACTTTTACAATTTGCAGAAACAAACAAAACTACCCTATTAGAGACTGGTATTCAGAAAATATACAAGAAACTGTTGGCATGCTAATAGGATAAAATTTCACCTTGTAAGTCAATGTTCCCATTTTTATCCATCTCATTTAAAACCGTTTACTTTTGCTTACCTAGTCATATAGAGAGCAGTTTCAACAAGATTCCAAAGGGACCCATTTTCGATGATTGCTGTACCATGTTACAGGTATTCTCTTTTTTTTTTTTTTTTTTTTTTTTTCATTTTTCTCCGGTACCGGGAACCGAACTCACGACCTTGCGCTTGCTAGGCAGGCGCTTTTGCCACTGAGCTAAATCCCCAGCCCCTACAGGTATTCTCTACTAGGAAAATTACTTACTCTACATCTTCAAAGTGTGATATAGATATAGATATTATATTTTATATATATATATATTTCTGGCTTTGTCTCTAGAAATGCTTAAATCAATAACTACAAGTACCACATGACTACACTTACATATTGCGTTGTAAGAAAAATACTTTCAAATATTCTGAATAGTCAACACCTTATCATTTCAGTGGTCTTTCTGGGTATAACTGATTGCTTATCACTTTCAAGAACATTCAACATTTCTTCCAAAACAAAAATGGCGACATAAAGTATATAATCTGCTCTTGGTCTTTTGGGGTGCTTAGCAGTCACACAGAAACAAGTGTTAAGTTTCCTGGAGAAGCATAACAGCAGCCCCTCAGAGAGGAGTGAGTCGCTCATCCTCCGTCATGAAGCCGTCGTTAACGTGCCCTCCTTTCATGTTCAGGGAATCACAAGGGATGCTGTTGGCAATTGTGCCCATGTTTTCCAACTTGTCCTCTGCGTCATCCACTTCAGATGATTCTTTGTTCTGCCTAAAAGCACATAAACAGAGTGACTGAGGTCTAGGAGAAGAAAGCATGACTGAGGAAGGTCTTCTGTACAGACCTGGAGAACAAAAATGGGCACAGAAACCTTAGAATGATGAAATGATTGATAATACTGGGTATTTTCATAAATTTTGAAGATCACAAAGTGTTGGTGAGGTGAAAGGGTACTGTCAAAATAAGAACTCTGCATGAACAACATTTACACATTGACTGGAACAAGTGGAATTATTTAGTACACTAAAAAAAGTATATGAATATATGTATACATATATATGAATTAATACTGTGAACACACAAACATATACACATGTACATTCCCATAGACAACTGCTTGAAGGCATGTGAGGAAAATGTATGGTACCTTGGTAAGTTTAAAAATTTATAATTTCAAAGTAGTAAGTTGTCTGATAGGATTTGACAAATTAACACCAAATTTTAATGAAAATTAACTTGAGAGACTCAGAAGTAAACTCACTTTACTTCATAAAAAGTAACTGTTATAATTTGTACATATCACCAACTGGCAAAATAGTTAAGTTACAAAATAGTTAAGTTAATTTGTAAGTCAAGTTTTTAGGACTCCAAACATATTTTCCTAGTTGTATCACAGCCCAAAGCTGCAATTCCAAGTCAATCTGAAAAATTCGACATGACAGGATGCTTAGCTTCTCACACTTTTGACTCTTTGTAGACCCTGCTACCCCAACCCAGGTGTTCACCAGATCCTTAGTTTCTCTGCAGTGTGGAAATACATAGCCTCAAAATTGAAAGTTTTTCCCATCTGTTGTGAAAGACTAAGACACTGAGCCAATTATGCTGGATATTATGGGATAAGGAAAAGCAGTGGTTGGCTCCACGCAACCAGCAGAAGAAAGGGGTTCCCTGAAATGTGGACGCTGGGACTCCACTCTGCAGTGGCTCCAGAGACACTGACATGAGGAGAGAAGAACGGGAAGAGGCGGGGAGGGGAAGGACAGAGAGGAAAGGGTAGTTTATACACCTATGAAATGTCTTTCTTTTTCCTTGTATTTTTTTATTGAAGGGATAAAAATATTCATTTTCCTACCTTAGGAATTAGGAGTTAGCATGGATTTTACCAGGATTTGGTGATGATTTATTAGATAACTTCAAGGAGCTGACATTCATAAAGAAAAGTAAAGTAGAATTCCAATACTGTAGGTTGCCATGTCATCATTTAAAAGTATTTTGCCATTGTAGATGCCACCATCAAACTGCACAAGCAACACTATAGACAATCACTAAATTGGGGTTTTAAATATTAATTTATAAAGCTTTTGGCTAATGCTGGGTTAGAAGTTGGGAGTTTTACTCCGAGAAACCTCGAAAAAGAAAGGTGGCTGTTTTCTTTCCCGTTCTCAGGGTGAAGACATTTCACTGGCCATTCTGCACATCAGTAATCAGGGGCCAAGCCAGGCTGAAAACAGAAGATGCAAACAGATGAGGAACGGTTTCTCCTCTTCAGAAGAAAGGACATTTTGCAAACAAAAAGATCCTAAGGGAAATCTCTGTGGAAATATACCAAATTGAGCTGTGTCCATAGCAAATTCAGTATGTGTCATTTTTTTGACCTTAGATCCAGCTGTTCGGAGTCTTGGCATTACTAGGATTCGCTAACTGCAATGTCAGTAACTTGCTGGCTGATAGATGTGATAAGCAGCTCAAAGGTTATCTAACAGTAATAGAGTACTTTGTCACGTTTCATAGTGTGTGCTATAATAAACTGATTCACTGCCTGTGCATTGCTCTTACTAAGAATAATAAAACTTAACTGTCTTTCTAGATCATTCTGATTTGATGTTCTGCTAGAAACATAAGTCCTTCATCCTGAAAAGTAAAACTGGGTGTTAATGACTTCCGCACCCACACCATCAGGTGGTTCAGGAAGAGGATAAAAATCCTATGACTAAACCACCCCCTACGACCTTCACAGCAGATAGCTCTCATAAGTCCAAAGAGAAGAGGGGCAATAGAGGGGACAAAAGAAATCTCCGGTGGCCCACAGAGCTGGGGGTACACAGGGACAGGATTTGCTCTGTTCTGAGACAAAGTGATGGTAAAAAAGAAAAAAAAAAAAAGTGTTTCTGTGCCCTTTCAAGCAAAATAGGGCCAAAGAGCTAAGGTCCAAGAATAGCAAGAAAAACAATAAAGGACAGGTGAATATGAGTGTCCAACAAGACAGAATTACTGGGGAATTGGAAATGTCCCCATATCAGCCTAGATAATTCCTAGGGAAACATTGTGTTACTAGGATGATTTCAGTGAGCTGCCCAGGAGAGTGACAGGCTCCAGGATCAAGTCTATCCGGCTTTAAATCCTAGCACCACAACTTTTCACCATGTAACTGTGGGCAAGTTGTTTTACATCTGCCATTAATAGCAGTAACGACAATGATAAGTACCTATTACGTGGCAGAAATCAGGCTGGGCACGTTGTGTACATCATCTCATTTCATTCCCACTCCACTATTATGCAGCTTTTATTATTATCTGTTTTGCATATGAAGAAACTGAGTTTCAAATATGTAGCGCCACTAGTATTTCAGAGTGGAACAAGATTAGTGAAAGGAGCTGACCTAGAACCTATTTTAGTCTCCCCAGGCTCCACTTAAAAACACACATTGGCTTCCTTTTGGGTACGTATACTTAAACACAGAAAAGGGAACAAATCAGCTCTTTTTCTAATTGTGTTAATCTAATTTTATTTCATTTTTATTTTTAATACAATTAATCGATTTAATTAAGACTTTGTAAGAATGTGAAGGTGTAATGTAAGAAAATTTGACGGAGCCCTATCGGTGGGAAAAGCAAGATTTGGGGAAAGTCAAGTGTACTTTTTCCTACTACTGACTTTATGGGAACAGAAGTACAACTAGACCCAAACTGAGAAAATTTATGAACGACTCTGCTCAGTTTTGAATACTGGCTAGGGTTCTATGTCCTAAGTCCTTGACCTGGCTTAGTAACCAAGCCCAAGATTATAATCTCCATGTAGGCAAGGACCATCCACGTTATCTGTGTTTGCCTCTTCTATGATATATACTATAGCTCCTATCATAGCATGAATGGTCAATAAAGAAATAAAATAGTTTACCTCTCTGATGTTTGGTTTCTGGAGAGTTGTATTTCCATAACTGGTAAGATACTGTCCTAAGAGCCAGTTGCAATTTTAGATCTAACTAAGGTCTAACGTTATAGTAATCTATTTATTATATACAGGGTTCATAAATCAATTCCACCATGTATATCTAAGTCTGAAAGTGCAATGTGTGTGTGATTCTCTTATATGCCACAAAGTGCCAGGTTATATAAAATTATCACTGTGTAACTACTTTTTATGGTTATGCTAGTAACTTACATTAATGCAGCACTTTCCAGTATATAAGCATTTGTGTACATTCTGGTTTTTGTCTTCTCATCATTATAGCTATTTGAGAAAACACTGTTATTTTCCATATGTGACCTGCTTTAGGTCACTCAGCTGATAAATGACCATGCCTGAGACTAGAACCCAAAACTAAGAGTCTAGGTCAAATGCTCTTTCTATTAAAACATACATCATATCAACTTTATCATCCTCACCACCATCTCTATCACTATCACCATAAAGCTGGCCAGATAACTAAGACAACTACTTCTGAGCTGGGGCATACAGATCCACAGGTTCGTTGTGAGTGAAGGCAGTGGGTCCCATGCCTGCTCACCTGTCCATCTCCCTAGTCATAGCCTAGGAATAAAAAAAAGAATTGCTTTTCCAATTCTTTTCCTTCAAAAAAAATCTCTCCTTTCCAGCAAATGCTATTTTCAAGCAGATGTTGATAGAGAAACAAGCTCCTCAAATAATTTCACAAGAAGGTGGCAGTCGTAACGATGTGCTAAGCTAGCTAGTTGAAGGCTTGCAAGGGCTGCTTGATAAATATTTACAATTTTTCAGCCATGATAGGTAATTGGCAAATGCTGCAAATCAAGGTATATTTTTAGAGAGCTGATTGATCATTTCACCACTATTAATAGTGACCAGAATACCTTATAGGGTCACTCTCATTTTAAGATATGTGCTCATTCAGTATGGTAAGGGCATCAAAACAGACACAGGACAATGGAACAGAATAGCAAACACAGAAATAAATCCACACACTTATGGTCAACTGGTCTTCAAAAGGTGCCAAGAAGACATAACGGGGAAAAAAACAGTATCTTCAATACTCTTAGGGAAAGCAAATATCCAAAGGCAGAATAAAACAGGGCCACAATCTCATGCGAAATTTAAAAATGAACAAAAAATGGATTAAAAACTCAATGTAAGTGCTGAAATTATAAAACACCAATAGGGGAAAAGCTCTGTGACATTGGTCTGGGCAACGAGATTTTGGACAGAACCCCAAACTGAAAAGCATCTGCACAACAAAGGAAACAATCAATACAGTGAAGAAACAGCCTGTAGAAGGAGAGAAAAGATCTGCAAACCATGCCTCTGTTAGGGGCTCAATATCCAAAATACACGGAGAACTCAGCTCAACAGTAAAAAACGAACACCCTGATTTTAAAATAGGCAAATGACCTGAATACACAATTTTCAAAAGACATACAAATGGCCAGCAGGTATATGGAAAGATGCTCAACATCACTAATCACCAGTGAAATGCAAATCAATACCACAATGAGATATCACCTTGCACGGATTAGAAGGCTATTATCAAAGAGGAAAGATAGCAAGAGTAGGCCAGGATGTGGAGGAAAGAGAACGCCAGTACACTGTTGGTGGAATGTAAATTTGTACAGCCATTATGGAAATCAGTAAGGAACTTCCTCAAAAGATTAAAAATAAAACTATGATCTATCAGTTGTACTTGCAGGTATATATCCAAAAGGATTGAAACCAGTATGTCAAAGCGATAGCTGCACTTCTGTCTTCGCTGCAGCATTACTCACAATAGCCAAAGTATGGAATCAATCTGACTGTCCACCAGTGGACTAGCGGATGAAGAAAACGTGATATATACATACAATGAAATCAGACTGGAACATTTATGAAACTGGAGGACGTTATGCTAAGTGAAATAAACCAGACACAAAATGTCAAATAACCTCGTGACCCTCACTTACATACAGAATCTAAGAAAAGTCACACTCATCGGATCAGAGAGCGTAGAACTGTGGCTGCCAGGACCTAGAGAACAGGAACGGGCAGATGCTGGTCAAAGGTATGAAGTTTCAACTAGATCTGTTGTACAGCATGATGACGACAGCAAATAATAATGTACATTTGAAAATAGTGAAGACAGTACATCTTCAATGTTCTCATCATAAAAAATGTTAAGTGTGTGGCCAGGCATGGTGGTGCACACCTGTAATCACAGCACTCTGGAAAGCTGAGGCAGGAGAATCTCAAGTTTGAGCCCAGCCTGGGCAACTTAGCAAGACCCTACCTCAAAATAAAGAATAAAGGATCCAGGATGTAGTTCTGTGTCCTGGGTTCAATCCTCAGTACCAAAACAAAACAAAAATGCTAAGTATGTGAGGTGATGGATATGTTAACTAGTCTGATTTAACAACTTCACAATGTATACATATATCAAAGCACAATCTTGCATGCCATGAACATATATACAATTTTGTCAACTATGCCTTTAAAATAAAATAAAATAAAATAGATATTTACTAACTGATGAAATCCTAAGCAGTGAGTCAGTGAACTGGAGAATTATCTAAAGAATTATGGCAATATCTGGGTGGGAAAAAAGATCCTTTGCAAGCGTCCTTTAATCACAGCAATGGGTTAAGTTCATCTTAAGTAATAATAATATGTGCTATTTGTTTAACATACTATATTCTGAGTACTTCACACAACATTTGTATCATTCAAACTAAATGGAAGGCCTATGAGGTACTATGCTCCAGCTGCACATGGAAAAACTGAGATCCATGGAAATTAGGTGACTAAATCAAGACCATATATGTAAACAGCGCAGCTGGTATTTGAGTTTACCTAGTTTGGACTCCAACCCGAATTCTCCGCATTATAATCAACATGGTGCTGTTACTGGCAAAACTAATGGAATTACTAAAGGTTTGTGTGAGACATTTCCTCAATGCTAATTTTAAATATATGTACATCCTGGATGACTCTGATGTTCTTCTCCATAGTAACTTAGATGACCCTATGGGTCCCACAGATCATTTAAGATTTTGGACCATACAAACTATGCTCATCATTATCTAGTGGATGGACTGGATTGTTAAAATTTTCTCTGCCTTCCTCAAGACTAATGGCTTGATGAAGAGCAGCTCCTATCTTTTCCATGATTAAAAAAAGTTTTCATCACAGTTATTAGGGATCTCCCCACTTTAGATTGCACCCTCTCTTCATCTTTGAAGCAGTATTTTGCCTTTGAGAAAGCTACCAGAGTACATTAAA